TTCACTGATGTGCAGGCTTACCTCGGCTTTGAAACTTTAATCAGATGCACCGAGAGGTGGCTCATGGGGTTTAGTGAGAGACACGGGGAGGGAAGAGTGGGGTGTGCCCTGCAGAGTGCCTGCATATGTAGCTCTCATTGCTCCGCTGAGCGGAAAATCATTACAGACACCGAACCATCTTGAAGGGTATTTCCCACTGTTGCAGCAGGGATGGAGGAAGTGAGCCACTTTAAAAAAAAAAAAAAGGCATGAAGGGAAAGGTGTGATGTCAGGGTTTACAGGAACGGATCTCCAGATTAGACCCTGACGTGTTGGAGTTCAGGTTTGTGTGCTGCCTGTGTCAGATGTTCATCCTCTCTTGGCACGTTTTTTAAAAGAACACAGTAACGCTGTAAGGTGTTTTTTTCCGTTTGTTATACCACATTTTACCCATAAGTTAAGTTGGGTTCCCATTTTTTTAAATTGTCGTACAAACGCGCTGAAATCCGTCCGTCAACGTTTAGTCCATGTCTTTCTCCATCTCTGTGAAGACATAAGAGTTTAAGTGCAACGTAGTGTGTCCCCAACTTCAGGCAAGTATGGAATCGAGGTTAAAAACCAATATGGCAGACTTTCTTGTAGAAGTTTATATTTACTGACCTGGAGTTGACAACATGCACACTGGGAACTTCACTGTGTATTTTTTTTCATATACAGTGGTCCCTCGTTCATCGCGGTAGATAGGTTCCAAGGCCTGCCGCGAGAACTGAATTTTTCGCAAAATAGTGACACCATATTTATGTGCAGTAAAATGACGACGAGGAAGGTGATGATGACATTTACTGCGCAGCCGATGATTGATTTTACAAGGCTGCCGAACATTGTGATCAGTGGCAGGTGCTTTCGCCGCCTTTTTTTTCCTTCAAAGAGGTCGTCGATTTTGTTGCAAAATTGGACCGATCGAACCATATCGTCGTCTCATTCCTGTGACATCTCTTGCAGATCCAAATCCGGGATACAGTGTATTTTATATATACAGTTTCAAAAACCCTCTAAGTCGTGAATCCGCGAAAGATGAGCCGCGAAAAAGCGAGGGACTACTGTATCGCTAAACTTTATCTCAGGCTTCATGGCAAGGCTTTTAAAAATGTTTTTTCTCCATTAAGACTTGAATACTCTGACATAATCAAGAAGAATAGAAAGATTATCTTGTAGAG